GTCAGAGTAAATGATGATCATCTTCAGTCCCCTTTTGACTTTGTTGCAGAAGTTTACAACCATTAGGTTTTGTCAAACAAGGCCCTTTCTTCTCCAAATTGTGTGATGAGACCTAAGAACTGCTGCAAAGGAAATTAGTTGTTGGCTGATTGTGGTGTGCCTTTTCTGTATTTTGGCAGTTGATAACTGCCAAACTGTCCATGAGAGGGAACTATTTTTCACTTTTTCTGCTCATTATTTTCAGCATCATGTGGCTAGTTGTTTGACCAAGTATATCTTCCTTTTCATTCTAGGAAATAGCAAAATTTCTTCAGAGTTTTGCAAGCTGTTAATAGTAAAGAGTGCCATTTTAACTACCATTAGAAGAGACAGATCAATCTTTGTATGTAAAGTAGCCCAACTTTGATAGTTGTTGAATAAAAAATAATGAATAGGGACTCATTCAACACTTAAAGATTAGTTTTTCCAGTCATCATCAAACATGGCTGGTAGCAAAGGAACACTTTTTTCTTAATGGTACATAAATAAAAAATTCATATTGAAGACATCCATTGTAAATAGGAGCTGAAGAAGGTAGTTACACAAGCTTTTTTCATTCTGAGAAATAACAAAATTGCACAGTACATGTAAGATAGAGGTCATACTTGTCTGATGAATAATAAAGAATGCCATACCAATTGTAATGAAACTCTTTTGGTGTGCAAAGTATTTTCTTGAAATAGTTTTATAGTTTTTGTGGACCCAGCCATGAGCTGGCCCAATGAAGTGAATTCATGCAGTGCTTTTGGCTACCCAAGCAGGCAGATCTTAAAACCACAGACAGGCACTCAAATATATGACTGCAAAGTACTTTTTTGCTGCCCTCAAGAAAATTTGAGACAAGTCAGGGAGAAGTTTGTTGAGATTCTGGCACTAACTTTTTCAGTATTAGACCCCTTACAGACCTCTAACCAGTTAATGCAGCTCAATGTCTCATTGTTTGCTGCAAGTGAAAAAGTGCTTATGGGGAAGGCTTATTAATGAGGACCTACTTGCATGCTAGGCAGATCATTGTGATCAATCCTATGACCACCAGTTTTCCTCTCTTTATTTATTTATTTTTTTTTTTGCTTCTTTTAAGACAACCAAGCTTAGCTTGTTTGGCCAGGCTTAAAAGACACAGACAGGGAATGTCAAAACATGCCTGTTCACAGCTGTAGTAATTTATCACAGTATAGAGTGTACAACTTCTGCATTGCTTGGGTTCTTTGAAATTGCTATTATTGTGTTTGTTTAACTCTTAAGAAACAGGCAGCAATTCATTTTATCTAGACCTTTATCAACTCTATCTACTGGCAGCCTGTTTAATGTGCTTTATTTTATTATAAATCAGCAAAATACATCTAGGAAAAGCATATTATAGATCAATTTCTATGTTTATTATTCTGGCATGTCATTATTTTATAAATTTTTTGAGACAAAAATTATCATACATTGAGCTATTTAAGGATATTAACTTTGCTTGGAAAAACTTCTACAGTAACTGCAACAGTACCATATGTGGTATTAAACACTATGAATACCTCTACCTCAGAGCTATGTGAAACTGCTGTAATAAAATTTATGCTTTTTCCTTGATTTAGAGGTTCACAGATTTAGTTGAGTGCTTCATTCTGACCTTCTTGTGGCTCTGAGCCACAAATAATATCTGATTTCTATTGTTTGAAAATTGACAGAGAAAATTTTATCCTTGTTTTGATTGTGTTAAGAGCAAAGGTAGAAGTTTCCAAGAGTGGGGAATCTTAACAATCAACCATGCAAAACTGAAAGCCAACAGCAACTTCTTCAAAAGTATTTCAGTTTCATGAAATTAAGGGATTTTCTATTGATGTCATACATTAATTGTTCCAGTAGGAACTTAATCAGTGCTAAAAGTTAGTTTAAAAAATCCTTCTAAGTGGCTCTTTCAGGAAACATTTACTTCTTCAGTATTTCTCACAATCAGCAGAGCTGTACTGGGTGCAAATGGAGTCACTGGTTTCTTCTGAGTATTTTGGCATTTTGTCAAGTCCAGCTCCTATAAAAATAGTGAAAAGCAAGGCATAATTTGGCCAATTCAATAAACATTATATAAAATAATGTGATATAACCATAAAGATAATAAAGTATACTGATTAGATCAATTAGTATTGTAATAACCTAGGGGAAGACAAAATGAACAGTAGAAAGAAGAAATAGCAGAAGGATATAGATTAAGAACAATTTAGATCATCTTTTCTTTGCCAAAATGTAGGGTTGGTTACCAATGAAACACTAACTTTGTTACAGGTAACAGGCAGATTAATTACCTTACACAGTAAAAAAGCTAAACTGTTTGTATGTTAAAAGGACAAAACCTTGAAATAAGTAAAGGTAATAACATGATTTTGGGTGCAATTTGGTGTTAACCCTTCAACTCCTGTGTGTGACCGAGACAGAATTTCTCCTTACAATATTAATACAACATCAAGCAGAAAAGTGATGAGAATAAAATATCAGTTAGGGGATTAAAAGTTGATCCAATACCAAATTCTCCAAACTAACATCACAAGAACTGAATGGTAGACAGTAAGGGGAATCACCAATTAGATTTCAGGAGTTAAATGGTTAATAAGCGCAAGTGAACTTTTCAAAGACAACAATATTGCATGAGCACTTGTTAACAAGGTACATGAAAAAACATCACAGAAAGTCGAGATGATGAAATTTTGAAAGCATGTGTGCACTATTTGTACTTTGCATTTGTATTACAACTTTGCACTTGTGTTACATGAGAATGCACTCCTTTTCAGCCAATCAGAAAGGCATAATTTTTTCATGTACATTATTACCAGGGGAAATTTTCACACAAATAGTATCAAATGAGATAATACTATGTAACAAAACAAAGCAATACTGGATTACTAATGACACTCAACAGGAAATTGCTCTGTGTATACCACTCAGTTTGACAGTCTCATACCGGTGATCAAGTTGTGAAGGTTACAGTAGTTTGTACCATAGTCCAACACAGCATACCAAGTTTCAGAGGAAGAATAGCCCTGAAAGAAGGCGTAAAATAGATGTGCAAAGTAAAAATCTCGTGTGTTGATCAATTTGAAGCTTCAACATCCACACCCCCCCTCCCCCTAGGCATTTTAACTTATGAAGACTCTTTTGTTCAAATTCCCAACTTGATAATTCCATTCCACTTTCCCACCTCTGCTGTGCAGGGACAACCGTCAAATGCCAAGGGGTTGCCCAATGGAGATGGGGATGTTGAAGCTCCAAATTGATTGGGACACAAGTATTGGAACATTCATTTTATATATCCCATGTCTGTAGATGGTGAATACACATTACATAAGACAAGGCTTAGCAGGTCTATGGTTTTATATTTCATCTATTAACACTGATTATGACTACAGTGTACTTCGATGTCTTACTTAGCCTAAAGTTCAGAAACCTGCCATCAGATCACCTCACAAGAGTAAGAAAGTTGTGCACAAGAAGCCACATCACTACCAGAGAATTTATTTCACATCACTCCCTTTCAGAAATGTTGCTGTTTAAGAATGGTAACCTTACTGAATGTTTACTAAGTGATTTAGTTTATATCATGAACCTGTAAAGATGTCGAGAAATGATTGGTGCACATCTAAGAACTGTGGTCAACCACAATCAAAGTATCAAAAATGTTTCCATCAACCCATCAATATTGACCCACTAAATGCCAAAGAGAAGCAAAGATGGAAGATTCCCTCTGCATGTTATACTCAAGCCAGCATCTTTCTTTCCTATATTTCCATTAGTTTCCTAAATGAGGGAACGACACTTTTATCAGGGGTGACGGAGGTTTTAACAATAAATTTGTTTTGGGCCATGGCCCCCTTGACTTTTTGCAGGTAAGAGGGAAATATGAATTAAGGAAACTATCTTTATAGCCAGAGAGGTGATTGGGTGTCTTCTAAATATACTTGCATCTTGTTTTATTAGCCTGGAGAATCTCATACCTCTACACTGCACAGTTCAGTTCCATTTGCAGTAAAAGTAAATGTGAGGTCATCTTTGTAGTGCTTCTTGGGCGTCTCATGGATTGCTTTGATTTCAGTATCAGTCTGACTTTCTAGCTACAGAAATAATAATCAAAAACCAAAAATATAAATAGAAGTGGAACATGGCATATAGTAGAAATAGTCAAGGCTTTACCTTCAACTGAAAATATTCCCATCTTGATTTAAGAAAACAACTGTTGTGGCCAGAGAAAATTTACTGAGTTGGCTACATCACAAAGACCCTACACAGTAACAAGGTAGATAAATTTGAAAATCTCAATAATCCCTAATGACCTCAACATTTATTTTGATCTATGGGAGGAGGTTTTATGAAACAATGGTTGGGCTTCTACGTAAACATACCGTATAAAGACACTTTTCCCCTTTACCACCTGGGCAGGTTTCATTTGAATGCCACTTCTGAATCTGGTTAACAATGGCATCATTAACCATACTGCATTTTACTGCCCAAGACCTGAAAGATATGTATCAAGTAACTTATTTCAAAGCTGACACAAAAACGGTTTTTTTTTTAACCAGCAATACCTTGAACCTACTGGCAAATATGGTAAGAATACATCTGCAAGACAGACCTGGCTATTTTGAAAAAAAAATTTAACCTGCTCTTACAAGTATAATGAATATAACCTATAACAAGTATAACCCGCTCACACAAGTGTAACTTTTCATTTTTCTTTGTCCCACACTCATGACAAGACAAAAAACATCTTTCTATAATTCTTTACCAAGCTGAAAACTTACCATCTCTGTAATTTCTATCTACAAACATTACATTGCTGACATTGCTGATCCTAGCAATATGCAGGACGCATGTCATATGAAATTCATAATAGACCTTGCTCACCATGGAATCTTTGTGGCTCAGTGGTAGAGCATCAGAGCATGGAATCCAAAGGTCTGAGGTTCAATTCCTCATAGGGACTCAGAATTTTTTCTTTTCCCACGCTCATGACAAGACGAAAACACATCTTTCTTTATTACACAATAGAGGTCCCATGGTTAAAACCAAAATGCACAGATTACAAACAGCCACTGATTTGGTTATCCTCCTCTCTTTTTTCAATTTACTAACTTGCCCTTGATTTGATTAAAGGAAAGCCATGTGACTTGAAGGGTAGTAACCTGGCAGCTTATCTTTCCAATAGCAAGCAATATGGGAAATGACAGCCTTCGCAGACATGTAACTTTGGCACTTTGGAAGACAACTTCGGAAAAGTTTGGTGACTCCTTTGAATGTAACAATGGTAGGAGGTGCCATACTTCAACTTTTTATTTTTAATGTAGAATGAGAAATGTATGTTTTCTGCTGTCTAATTCTCCTCTAAATTTTTAGTTCCTGACTGCACTGGAAGACCTACGAATCGTGCAGATATTATATGTTTATTTGGGGTTAAAAGATTTGGGGTAGAAGTTTGAAGATATACATATTTATTAATTAAAATGGAGAGATGAAAACTACTTTTAAGATTAACATTTTGTATTATTCAACCAGTTTCGAGTGAGCTATGCGTGATCTGATATTCATGAACGCAGGTATCTTACGTAATCACATTCCCTTACCAATGTATTTTGCAAGACGCATGTAGAGGCCCTAAGCTGCCTACTGCATGGAAGACAACCATGAACATCAGCGAGAGAGTTAATTTCATCTTAAAGCACGTGGAAGGATATCTGCAAAACAATCAATTCAACACTGATAAAAGTTGTGAAGTTATCTTGTAGACGTCATGTGACTTTGAGCTGTGTCAATCATCGACAATAATATTCGAGCATGACTGAGCATGATGGGAAGGTAACCCTCGAGTAGAGACTGGGTCAGACACATGTGCACCATTCCTCTTCAAGATGGCGGACGACAACGGATCAAATGAGTCGCCAGATCAAATCAAGTCTCTGCGGGACGAAGGCGGCGGCAAAGAATTCACAGATCGCGAAGTAAATGGAGTTATCGAAGAGGAACCTCCAAAAGGAGGTAATCAATTGGTATCGGTTAGCTCTAAAAAGAAGAAGAAAAAGAGGAAGGGAAAAAGCAATGAAGGAAGTGAAACTGTGGTTGAGTCTCTGCCAAGTCCGGCAGTTAACCTGCAAAATCTACGCGAGCTACAAAAGAGCTTCGAACGTTTGCGGGCTGTGGAAGTGAAAGCGCCCAAAACAACAGAAGAAGCTATGAAGAAGAAGTATCAGTTCTGGGACACTCAGCCGGTACCTAAACTAGGTGGGTTTTTGTAATGCAACAACAGGTTCCATTTGATCCGACTTGTCTGCAGCTGAATTTTGACTAATAATTCCATGTGATTTGTTCTTTTATTAATAAGACTCTGTCTTTAAGGCGCTTTTAAGAAAAAAAAACTTTCTGTTTTTTGATCTAGAAATCGTGTGGTATGATTTCTTTCGAAGTACATTTGTACGTATGCTAGCGCTATTTATCTGAAGTGTGCATGGTTTTTTACGCACACACCCACTTCTCTGATTGTTTTACGCGAAAAGTGTCGACCCTTGATACAGCTGCTGATGATAGATCACATCAAGCATTTCGATGCTTTTTCATAATCAGTCTCTTGTTCTAATATAGGTTACTACCACAAGAAATAAACATCATTCTAATATTATTATCTTAAAGTAGGTAAAAGTATTTGCAAGGGGCAAAATAGAACAAACAAAAAGAGAAATGATTTCGTCATTTTATGTATGTTATGTTTAATTGTTGCTGAAAGAAGTGTGATTTTAGATTTTAGAAAGAGTGTGGTAGGCATCAAGTCTTACAAAAATAATTTATTTTTTTATCTTGTGATAATGCACATATTAAGAAAGAATTTATAGTTGGATGAGTTCAAAGGTTGGTGTGTTAAAAGGATTGAGAGTATGTTTTAGAGTATGATTTTTCCTGTTTAACCATGTTGTTCTTTCAGGTCTCAGCAAAGACATATCAATCTTGCTTTATTAACCCTTTAACTCCCAAGATCTGATTGTTAATTCTCCCCTGTAGCTTCTACACATTTCCTTGTAAATTAGTTATGAGAACTTGGTGCTAGATCAAGTTAGCAGCTTCTAGCTGATAAATTTGAATATTCTCATTACCTGATTGCTGAAGAATGTATGGATATTGTAGGGAGAAGTTTTATGTCAATCACTTCTGGGAGTTAAAGGGTTAAAATTCTAACTGTGAATTGCAAACAGAGTTATATCTGGATAAGACTTATAAGTTGCTGGATTAAAGGTTTTGTTCAGTTCTTGTCAAGTTATCTCTTTTTTTGCAATCACAGTTTTGTTTCTTTAATATTATTGTTTTAGTAATGTACTGGGAACTTAAAAAAAACCAATACAACTTGAATTACTGTAAATCCAAGTTGTTTGTTTTTCACCTTTTTTCCTCTAAGAGTGACTAGCACAGGGCGTGAAATTAATTTTTTTTTCCAATAGCCACTTGGCTCCTAAATTCTTCAAAGTGGTAGCCAAGTGGAAAAGAGTTGGTTGCCATTTTCAAAGACAAACAAAACCTTTTTTTAAGCTGTCGGTGTTCTAGATAGACCCTCCAAAATTAAATTTGGGAAAAGATCTTTAACGTGCTTCAAAGTGGACACTAGGATGGACAATATACGATGTTAAAGCTCACCTAAATCCAAGATGGCGTCTAGTTATCGATCAAGATGCATATGTTGCGTTTTGGAAACAAACTTAACAAGGAAGTTCGCCGCGGATTGATCGTTGCAAATCTTTTTAATTCACTATATCTCTTGGTAAGGTTATGATGAAACATTCTAGTCGCCAATTTGGCAACTAATTTCCAGGATTTGGTCGCCAAAGTGAAAAATTTAGTTGCATTGGCGCCTGTATTAGGCGCAATTTCACGCTCTGTAGCATCTAATTTCTCTATACAATATCACCCCCAAATCATAAAGTAAGGTCACAAGAATAAAGGAAACAATTACCAACTAAAGAAGCTCTTGATTTTTAACCCTTAAACCCCAGTGACTAGCATCTAATTTCTCCTTACAATATCACCACTGAATCATGCATTAATGTCAAGAGAATATAGGAAATAATCACCAACCAAAGAAACTCTCGATTATTAGACAAATTCTCCTTGTCAGCACATTAATAAATGTACCAAGAACAGTATAGAGAATATGCATACTGATTTTAGGATGTAAAGGGTTAAAGAAATTCTCCTTATCAGCACCTTAGGAAATGTGAAGAGAACTGTATGGATAATATACATCCTGAGGTGTAAAGGGTTAAACAAATAATCATATTAGTACTTCTTCATTGATTTTAGATGAAGATATCATTGAATGTGGATGTATTGAAGAGGACAAGGCTGTTGAGCAACTGAGACAAGAACCTTATACCCTCCCCCAGGGTTTTGTTTGGGATACCTTGGATATCAGTGATGCGAAAGTGGTATGCAATACAAAAACATGCTCTGGTATATGATTTTGATATATTTACAGTCATGAATTTTTCTTCGCACATAACCTCTTCCAAGAAGGAAACAGTTTTCTAAGAGTGAAGCTCACTGAAAACTGTGAGCTTCAAAGAGCAGATAATTGAAAGGGTGAATGGAAGAGCATACTATTGCGCCAAACAGAAGCACCAGGTTTATTACCCTTCAAATATTATTTGTAGCAAGAAGGACAGAATGTTTATCTCAAAACTTTCCATTTGGTGCAATTTTTTAAACAAACGAGGTTGTGTATTCCTCTGTAACATTAGAAAAATGTGCTCCTTAGTGGAAAAAAAAACTTTCAAGGGAGCCTTTTCACTGCATGTGACTCAAGGTCTATAAATAAGAAGGTTTTGCTTGGAGAAATTGTCACTGGACATTCTTCAAATTTAGCTCAGGTGCATTCAGTTGTGTGACTCATTTAAACCATTCTCACAAGAATGGAAACATTAAATGAAAGAGAACTAATAATAACGCAATCCTACAATTAATTTTAGTCTTAAACCTTTTGACCCCAAAGAGTGAGTAACATCTAATTTCTCCGTACAATATCACCACTGAATCACACATTAAGGTCATGTGATTGAAGGAAATGATCACCAACTTAAGAAGCTCTTGATTGTTAAACAAATTCTCCTTGTCAGCACCTTAGGAAATGAATAGAGAACAGTAGGGAGAATGTGCATACTTGTGTATGGCTGTTAAGAGTTAAGTGTGTCATTTGTTTGACAACTGACAATTTTTTATAGAAAAAAAAATTCCTGTATTTTACATTTCTCCTGATATGTGTCTCCTTTTTTTGTTGCAGCTCAAAGAGCTTTATACCTTACTGAATGAAAACTATGTGGAAGATGATGACAACATGTTCAGATTTGACTATTCTCCAGATTTCCTTTTGTGGTTTGTATAATTTCCCATAATTAAAATTTTACAAGATGAGAAGTAAGACTTTTTACCATTGCTAAGTACTAGTATTTTATGCTGAATATCTAAAGCTGAAAAATCCAGTAGAATAATAATTTCTTTTTTTACAAGGTTACATTCATTCATGTTGAGTTATGTTTGTATTTCAGGGCCCTTAAACCTCCTGGTTGGAAAATGCCATGGCACTGTGGTGTGCGTGTAGCAGGCAACAATAAGCTTGTGGGTTTTATTAGTGCCATACCTGCACAAATTAGGGTTTATGAACAGTAAGTTAATTTTGAAGCTATTATAACCTTTTATTATAAAAACTGTGGTGCTTTTATAAGGATTTCCAGCCCTGAGTAAAGCTGTAACTGTACATGTATAAAATTATGTTAACTATTTATGTGTTTGATATCACCCATCAGCTGCTGACACATTACTTGCCTTTTACACCACTCTGTCAGGTGGATGAATAATTGACAAAGTGTTCACCATTCTTAATGCATCCTTTTGTGAAAATTTTCTCAGATTATGGCTGCTAATTGCACTGAAAGATTTATATTGCTCACAGGCAGCAACATGAACAATTTTCTAGAAGTGGAAAAAAACCAGAATATGAAAAGAAAAACCAAAAGTAATATTAAAAAACTTTCATTTCTTTTATTGGCAAAGTTTACTTTTCTTGTCAGTAAGGCCCTATAGTGTTGATATAATAAACAATTGAAAATGATACTTGATCGGTTCTAGATAAATAATTTCCCTTTTCATGTTCAACTTGATGTCTCAATCCTTTGCTGGGCTCAATTGTGAGATATCAAGTCAAAGAATCAAAGAGAAATTCCATATCTTCACATGCCCTTGTGTTAATCTCTATGTAATCTGGGTAAAGCACTCTTATTTTCAAGCTAAGGCAAGTCAGTTTTGGAAACATCTGAACAAACTTCTTGACTGCTCTAAATGGTACACATGTAAATCTGGGTGGGGTTCAAAGCTGGGATAAGATAACCCAGGGTTAGTATGAAATCTGATTTCAGACCTAAAGGCTTTAACAAAAAATTCAGTACAACTCTTTTTGTCTAGGATTTGATGATTTGATGTTCTAAAAAGAGTAGAGAAAATTATCCCAAAAAGGCTTTTGGACAAAGCAATAAGGAAACCCTGTTTAAATTTAACTCTGGGTTGATGCTGTTTCACGTGATGTGCATCAGTTCTTTCAAGCAAACATAGGTTTTATCCAATTTTCACAAGTATAGGTCACAGAGTCCTTCATAATAATTTTAATCTTGTATCTTATATTAATCTCATATTTATCTCATATAATCTGATGACCTACCACCTACAATCTGCAACTTAGAAAAGAATATTGTGGTCTTAAAGTTAAAATGCCAACAATTTTGTAGC